TACTGGATAGAATCGCCAAAGATCGCTTAATCTCGCTGAGAGATTAATTTTAGCCACATAACAAGTGCAGGAAATGAGCCCCGCAGCAAATTCTATATAAATTTTACATATAGCTTGACTAATAAACAGCCTCGACTAATAAAGCGATACTTTGGTAAATACAAGCGCAAGTAGATGACGAACAACAGCTAGGCCAATGCAGACCAAGAGTGTATCAAATGTCATATATGTGTATTAAATGTCATATACTTCTACAAGCGGGTGAGTGCGCAGGTAAAGAGAAATCAACTTCGCTCCCTATACAGGGTGTCCTATATGTCCCGCATCGGCTGAATATGCGGCGGAAAATATGCACTTTTGAGAAAAATATTTCAGACAAAAGTTGCAATATATAAGGTAATGTATTTACTGATCTTATCAGTTTGACCTTGGGTGGTACAGCCAAGGTCAGGTCAAGGTCAACTTTGCTTTTTTAAATAGAAACATGTATTTTTTATTACGGAATTTTATTCTACGTAAAGAAATAAACAACTTTTATTTGAAAACATTTTTATATCACTTCTATTTTCTAAGATATTTACAGAAATATCTACAAAATTATTGGTTTCAATAATTTTTTACTCGAATTCTACCAACTTTTCCGAAAAATAGATAAAGAGATAAAAATTGTTTATTTTCTTCTCATAGAGTCCTGAGAATTTTTTCAGAATTTTATATAAACTTTTTAGTACTTCAAGAAAATGCAAAAAGTGCAGTACTAAAAAGTTAAATTTAATTAAAAAATTCTGAAAAAATTCTCAGAGCTCTATGAGAAGAAAATAGATAATTTTTATCTCTTGTTATTTTTCGATAAAGTTGGTAGAATTTGAGTAAAAAATTATTGAAACCAATAATTTTGTAGATATTTTCGTAAATATCTTAGAAAATAGAGATCATATGAAAGTTTTTCAAACAAAAGTTGTTTGTTTCTTTACGTAGAATAAAATTTCGTAATAAAAAAAAATACATGTTCCTATTTAAAAAAGCAAAGTTGACTTCAACCTGACTTTGCCGGTGCCACCCAAGGTCAAACTGATAACATCAGTAAATGCATCACTTTATTGCAACTTTTGCCTGAAATATTTTTTTCAAAAGTGCATACTTTCCGAGATGTTCAGCCGATTCGGGACATATGGGACACCCTGTATATATTTATATATGTATATATGTGCACGCATATATATATATATATATATATATATATATATATATGTGCAACATATATAAATTATTTGCGTATGAGTGACAAATATACAAACCAAAGATACAACGATTGTGTCTATTTCTCGTCCTTCTTATTTTAATTAATCGCATTCACGACAGTGAATCCTCATCTACACGAACATGATCACGTGTCGTAGAAATATATTTATATAATACAATTTACATAAAGAATATACAGTGGTCAAGGATTAGTGACGACGAAGAGACGATCCGCCGCGGGATCCTCGCTAAAATACGCCGCGGAGTTAAACATCGTCGCCGCAGTAGAATCTACAGTCATCGTCTGCAAACAAAACACATTTTACGATTATGTTCCGCCACAATAATCGCTCAGGGTATTAATCGCATAGAGCTATCTAATCGTTCTAATGAGGTAATGATTATATTGCGGACGGCAGTGCGGATCCTCGATACCGGCAACTACGGAGTGTTCGCGTAAAGATGATAAATATACAATTAACAGAAATTAATTTTGGCCAAGTCGCACCAAAATATTGGTAACGAATAATAATTTCATGCTGGAAAATAAAATACATTGAATATCCGAGAATCTCTCGATATAAGTTTCACCTAGATATATCATCTTTACATTCGGCTAACGTTTCTACAACTCATTATTGTTATCCCGTTTATGCTAGCGTAGTCGTGAAAAGACGATTTTTTTTTAAGTTGGCACCAAGCGAACGCAACTTATCGGAAGTCAATCGCAGGCCGTGTGATTGACTCCTTAAGATCCTGTTAAGATGCAAGACATTGATTCACCTCAGATGGTTCCTTGCGGTAAGAAGAATTTTCCGTCGTCAGATGCTGATACTGCGGTGCCTTTCCGTACGACACATATTGTGTGCACTGCTGCTGTTGATGATGTTGATGTACCCACTGCACATACCGGCTTATCGTGTTTTGATCTTGCTCCTCGTCGCTTGCTTGCGTCGTATTCTTCGTCGCTCTGTCGTACTCTTCTTCGCTCGGCGACAATGCCGGAAGTTGCAATTGCGTTGGCTGCTGTTGCTCGCTTGTTTTGTCTGCCAGAGAATTCGCCGAATGGCAAATATCAAAGATACTTTGGGCTGCGGGTTGCACCGCTACCGGGCTCGACACGCTCGGTGCTGGTTGACTGACTAAAGTGATCACCTGCTGCTGCTCCTTACCCTCGCTGTTAAATACCAATGCCGACAAGGGAATCGGAACCGCAACCGTACTGGATTGCGCGGAATGCAAGATGTCTACGGGCGTCGTCGTGCTCGCATTATCCTGGATGTTTGCGCGCTCGATATCGGTCGACGAGATCGGTGTACTTTCCGGCTGTGGTGCTATAGATCCTGGAAAAGAAGGTGGCTGCTGTTGACCAACCAAGCTAATAACTTGCGGCGTCTGTGGTTGCGACTGCGGTTGCTGCTGCGTGGAATGAGGCACAGCTTCGGGTGGTTCCGGGAAGAGTTCCGTTCTCAAGTTGGGTAAAAACACGTCAATCGCTCGCCATGTCGGCGCCCAGAGATTGGAGCTCGGCGCTAGCACATTGGCGGACGACATCACCAGCAGCATGTTCTTCAGGGACTCAGGGATAGCCTCGAACAATAGCTCGCTGTTGTCGGCATGCATGTATGCGCGCAGTAGATCCAACACGGTTAACCACAGCGGTAGGAAACCGGGTAGCGTCAGTAGAGGTGTCAGATGATGAAGAAATACCTTGGAGAGTAACATCGCGGCTCGAACTCGCGTCTCCTCGACGCCAATAGGATCGTTTGACGCGATAGGATCCAGCAGTTGCGCTAGCAGCGGAAACAGTACCTCCTCGAGGCACTGCGACCACTCGATCGCAGATAGCTGCGCCAGGTCATGCGCCAACAGCGTGCTCTGCAAACACGTGATCGCCGCCGTGCGTACAGGTCGACGTGCGTCGCAACAGAGTCGCGCGATACCCTGCAAAAGTGGTCGCCAAGCCTGCGGCCATAGGGATATACTTTCGTCGATGCTACCCTCCTCCGCCCACCAACGGAATACCTGAGCGATTCTCGTGTGTAGTGTGTGCATCAAATCCAACAGTTGTTCAGGACTGTGTTGATAGCCGGGGGACTCTTCCGTCGAATTGCACACCCGGTTTCGCTTGCCCGTGCATTGTAACACCGCTTCGGCGAAGGTTCTTACGCAGTTAACACACAGGTCAAAATTGAAAGGCGTGACGTGTGCCATGTCGCGCACCAGGAAGTTCAGACTTTCGCAGCACTTGACGAACGCCGCTGAGTCGTGTGGCTGCAGATCACGCGCCAACACTATTCTCTCCGCGGCTACCGGAAGAGGCGCCTCGGTGCCGGTTGGTGACACCAGCACCCACTCGGGCACGGGACTGATCGGTCTCGGGTCTAAAACCGATGCTCTGGTATTCGACGTCTCGTCTAAGACTGTGTTGGACCGTTTAGGCGCTAACGCGCCGGCACCCGCACACTCCAGCAGACTAAACACCACCTTCCAATCCTCTGCGCTGTGAATATTTGCAGCACCGGTCTTCAGAAGCTCAAACAGACCGTAAGCGATTTGACGAGCTAACGGTGCAGTCGTCGCGGATGGTAGATGAGTGAGTGGTAGCAGAGGAGACAGACACGCGAATTCTTCACCGCGTAAGAGTCTGATTGCTAGTCTCAGCATGCTCACAGCTACCCTCTCGAGTAGGTAAGGGTGATTCTCCCGCGCTGCTACTGTTAATAGATGATCCAAGTAACTCTGTACCACCGGCCAGATACACGTCACCCTGTCTCGATTTTGTATAGTTACTTCCAGCAATAACTCTAGTAGAAATATAGACACGTCTTCGTCGTTGGGATTCACTGACACTAGAGCACCGACGAGGGAATTGAGCGACTCACTCTGTAAAGTGATGATGGTTGTTAGAATGCATTTTTTGGAGTTTATTTATTTATTTACGAAAAGATATTATTCCTTTTAAAAACAAATTATCTTTTTACACGCTTATACATGCCATGAAGCGTTGACTCACCTGAAAGAACTTGCTCTCCTCGATGATCGACTTGAGATAACAATTGCTGATAAACTCCGTGGCCTTTTTCCGTATAGTCGCCTCAGCGGGATGCGACTGCCGCGACGTGTCCATCGCGATATACGAGTAAAAGGTGGAAAATATTCCTTGATCGCCCGGTGAGACTTTCGGTGTGGTCGGCTCTCGAAGCAGAGATATCTTGCCCGACGGATCGATAAAGTCCTCTGCCTCTGTGAGATTTTTTGGCAACAGTCTTGCCTCGTAAAGTGACTGAAGGCAATCGATGATGTTCTTCCAAGATGCTCGCAAAGCGTCCCCATGTAAACGAGTGATTTTAAAGAGAGTGAGAGCGGCCAGTTGACACTTTCCGCTCCCGCCGAGATGTTGCACCACTTGTTCGGGCTTTCCGCCGGTTATTAAGCCAGTAAACTTGCAGAGACTCACCACAAGAGTGTCTAGGTCGCTGCACATGCTATAATGAGCGCTGATTGCCGCGCAACTGAAATAGAAAAAAAGATGACAAAAATAGTAATACCAAATATTTACAAGAGTAAAAATTTATAATAATTAACGAAGGATGTGTAACAAACCTGAGGAACGTTTGAGACACTTTACACTTCAACGATCTGTCCGGTGCTTTGTCATAGGCGCGACAAAGCGCGCTCACAATCGGTCCCCACGCGTGCTCTGCCAGATCTCTGTCGACAAATTCGCCGGAATTGCCCACTTTTAAATACGTGCTTTCAGGACCGGCACCTCTTCTCAATAAAACCTTCCACAGATAATTGTCTTTTACTAGTCCAGTTTGTTCGGCCGGCATTACAATTTCCTCTCCTCTGAACAAACAACATAAGTAAGCAATAGCTTATTACTTGTAATTAAAACGTGAATTATAACGCTACTGAAAAAACATTGCAACATAGTAACTAACACTTACTTAATCGATACATATATTTCGTCGAGCATATCTTGGTCGAAATCGGCATCTCCGTTCACTTTCTTCAAATTTCTCTTGAATTCATCGCCAGTCATAGGATTATTTTGTCTTTTGACGTTATAATTGTGTTGATCGACGTTTAACATGATCACCGCGTAAGCCAATGTAAAGGCAGCGTCGGCGGAGGCAAACGGTCTACCATTGCTATCCTAGAAACAATATAACAATTTAGTTATTTTAGTACTAATACTATTAATATTATACATATAATTACGTCTTTAATTATTACAGTGGAGTACATGTACTCACATGCCAATGCTCGGCGAATTTCTCAAGTAGAAGAGCTATGAGAGGCGCCTCTCCAGGCAACCTAAACGATTCTAAATAAAGTCGCAAAGCTTGGTCGATCCGGGTGTTTCTCAAGTCGAAGTTGTGCACGAAGTGATTGAGAATGTTCTTGTTCTCCTTCTTGCTGATGTACTCGCCGATCGCTTTCTTATCCAGACCAGGATTCTCCCGCAACAGTTTCGCTACTTTCTCCGGGTCCGAATGGCCGGGGGTACCACCCAGAAGACCATGCTCAGTGAGCTTCGCGATACCCTCGCGTGGATTCTCGTTGAACTTTTCCGTGCCGAGGACCAGCCACTGCAAATGAAAATGAAGAATTCTATTTATCGTAGAATAACGGCGAAAATGAAACAAGGACGAGCACCTACGCGTTTGTTCGCTTTTGTAGCGAGCAGATCTTCGCGCGTGGGAAGATTCGGCGATGCCTCATGACGCGACGGCTTACACAATTTACCCTTGCAACGAATCTCCATACCGGCAACTAGCATTAATATGGCGTCCAAGGAGATCAGCTGCATACTGTACATGCCAGCTGTGGGCACGGAGACGTTCTGAAAACAAATGTTTAAAGAGACATGAAATCTTTTTGTATTACAAATATAAATATTTACGTGATATATGTGGGGAACAATACGTACTTTGGAGAACATCTTCATAAGTTCCTCGTACAAATTCGTAGAATAAAGCCCGCAATCATAATTTAAATATAACTCAGCGGGTAAGCCGGGTATTCTCCACAATCTTACTATAGTTTCTGTGAATTATGAAAATAAATTTTATATTGTCTGTATTGTTTACACTGTGTGTATACATTATTACAAAATTAAAAGTCTCACCAAGCGCTAATTCCCGTTGCTCGTAGGATATTTTATTAGACTCTGAATTTACTATTTCCATTAATTTAGTTAAATAGTGTTCTAATTGGAATTTTAGATGCTCCCTTTGCGATTCAAATAGTAAAAATGATACTTGAAGATCTACAGCGAGGATCGACAACCTATCTGTTCCCAGTAGCTAAAACATAAAAGTCATAAGATTTGATATTTTAGACTTTCGCGGTGTCCACGCATATTAGATTTGGTTTCCGGGTTTGAGCCGCGTGGATTCTTCTTTGATTACATTTCAGTCTGCTTCATCAGGCAGGAACGACCTGATGCCATTATAAGATGTTTATATACAATAGATAAGTATAACGCAATATTCCTGTATTTACAAACAAAATCAAACTGTGTAATGAATCTTCAAACTTCTGCGTGATGAAATATTTAAATTATTTCTTCCCATTCTCCATGAAAAACAAATTTATGAAAGACGCAGCACTAACCCGGAAACCAGATCAAACTATGTAATTGGTTATTATTATAATAACTTATGTGGAATCTTCTGTCTTACCAAAATGAGATTTCTACACAAGTCGTCCTTCACGAGCGCAAGTAATGACGAGAAATTAGAAAGGGCATCAGAAGCGATTTCCAACGCCACTTGTAGCAAACTAAGACCCAGGTGAGTCATGATTTCGTTATTCTGCTTATCAAGAGGATTGCACAAGGAAACGAGAAACCTGAATAGTTCGCGCACACACAACGCGCCATATGGCGCGCGCTGTTGCAGCGGCATGAAGCGAACACCCTGGGTGTTCACGTACTCCTCCATCTGCTCAGGCTCTTTTACTTTGCAAGTCTTGGACACACTTTCATCTATTGACAGGTCCTCTACGCTGCCAACCGGAGACTGCGTCAAGTCAATGCTTTTGTCTTCGTCACCTGCACGATTATCACAGAAAAAAGGAATTTACAAATTTTATAAGATTTTATAAAACCTTACAAAATTTTATAAAAGAAATTTATTTTATAAACGATTGTCTTTTATAAAATAAAATTTATCATTTTATGTCTGTCTTGTCTTTTATAAATGTGATTGTCTTTTATAAAAGACAAGAAATTATCTTATATAATAATTTAAATAACAACTTAGTATTCTCTCAATAATTTAAGAAGTTCTCTTTTAGCATTTTAGGTAAAAAATTTCTTTTACGATACCTTGACTTTCTGACACGGACTGTTTGGCGGAGGATCCGGAGGCGTCGTTCGCCATACTTTTTTGCTCAGATGCATCTTCCTTTTCTACGTTTTTGGTTTCTTCAGATACAGCTTTATTATTCTCCGTGTCAACATTCTCGGATGTCCTATTAGCCTCAGCCATTTCTACATCGCTATTAACTTCTTTATTGCTCGTGTCCTTATCGTCTTCCTGCTTCTTGCTCGCTTCCTGATCTATAGCTTTGCTGCATTCGTTTTTACCACTAGTGTCCTTACTACCGCTGACTTTTCTGTCATTCTTCTCATCCTCGTTTTTATCGGCACTTCCGTGATCCAAGGATCCCTGCATGTCTACGATGTTCCCAACCGGCGAGACTGGAGTGCTAGCCAGATGACCACCTGCTCGTATTCCGTCGATCGAGTTGAGGATGTTCGACTCTTTGTCGTCTACGTCATCCACAGCGGACTTGGACTTTTGTTTCACGTAACTTTTGTGTTTCCTGTTCTTACTACGGGTACTCTCCACACTATTCGTTCTCATTTTCTGTGGAACATCGAAATGTAATTTTTCACTTTTATATGAGTAATATTTCTTCAAAATCGCGAAACATACCTTCATATTTGGCAAAGCTCTGGTATCGTCGACGAATTGCGGTAATCTGGTGAACAAGTGCTGCACCATGTCTCTCAGACAGTGTTCTGCCGTTCTCCTGAGAATTTCTACGAAGGAGACACCTTATTGCAACGTACTCGTGACTCGTCGGCAGAAATGCAAGACCAACTTACCGCTGAGTCGTGTCTCAAAGCATATCCTAAAGCAACTCAGCATAATTTCGCATATGCTTTCGTTGGAGAGATGGTCGCCGGCAGGTGACAGCATAAGGGCTCGCAAAACTTGAAGAATTCTCATGAGGGCCACTCCATCGCCAGATGCGTCGGTTCCCACGAACCTGGCGTGTGTAACTGCATCAGCGATAGCCTCCACACAGGATGCTATGGAAGGATGATTGGAATCTAAACAAAACAAAGTATGATAAGACACTATATATAAGGTGTCTGACACAAAGTCATCCCAACAACTCAAAATTTTATGTGATTGTATACAAAATGATAGAGGAATTTTTGTATTGTATTTAATCTAATCAATATGTACACAAGATATGAAACATTTTGTGTCAGACATTCTGTGTATATATATAAAAATCTTAATCATAATCTGAAATTTGAACTAACCGACAAGACCATAAGAAATGATTTTATTAACAGCAGATAACGCCAGGCTGGTCACTGGTCCTGTAGTTTCCTCTGATCTTATGATTTCCAGGAAGGGTGCAAGGAAAACTCCAGGCTTTAACTGAGACAGATCTCTTGGCTCATTCAGTGCCTCCTTCAAGGTGTTCAAGCTCTTCACGAGAGTATCTTGATCATCATCCTAGAAATTATATCATGTTAAAAGTATTTAAAATTTAACACAAGGTCAATCAATTCTTTGTGATTTCATGTCAGTCGTATCATATGAATATCTAGCTGATTGAAATTATCTTGAAACAGCATGGAACTAATATATCTGAAAGAGGAATTGTCTTCCAAAATCCATACGTTGTTGAAAGTATTTTGAAAATAGAGAAAAAAATGATAAATAGAAGAAACACAACTGACATCCATGAGACAAACAGAATACAAGTTACATAGTGGCTGTCACAAGATAGCAACTTCATCTTGTTTCAAAAATGTCGAAGACTAGAGCAGCCTTGGTTGACAGACCGATTACTGCAACCTGTTTGAACAGTCACCAAAATAAATAGAAATATAACAAAGTGGGAGCTCGAAAACGCTCACAACATCTATCCTATTGTCGCGTATGTTAACTGAAGCAAGAGGGAAAGGATCGAACCTGATGAGAGTGCGACGACCATCGGGCACCCCGCCGCATCGCCGTCACCAGGAGGCAGACCTCGCCTTCGACGACATACAGGCCGCCCCTGGGGCCCACGGACCTCGTTGTACAGCTCATCTTGACGCGGCTACTTCGTCGTTACGCCATTGCCGCGATCACTCGCGAGATCTTACGCGCGTGGCCGGGTAACAATTCGTGACGTCCAGAGCCCGAACTTGCTGTCACGTCAGGTATCGCGGAGCCACTTCCAACTTCCAACGCGATAATCATCGACCACCGTTGTCAGTGGTCTACCCGTCGACTCACGAGCGGGGATTAGAGCGGTGACATTTCGATTAGTCGATACGTGTCATTATCGACTGTGATAACGTCAAACTGCCGTATGTACAGCATGTTTACACTTCCCTTTAAGCCATAAGATTTTGACCAATCACAGTGGAATTATAGAGGAATAGTCAATTGTGATTGGTTAATTTCTTACGGCTTAAAGCTTACTACTCTATGTAAGGCTGCGTTCAGAAACGTCACTCGAGTACTCTCCCTCTCTTTTTATCTCACTCTTGTATTTCGTTCACTCCAACGGCTATCGTCTAGTAGTGTGCACACAGTGTGTGTTTCCGAACGCAGCATAGATCGGGACTAAAGTGGTATTGGGGCAGCACCTGGTGTAGCCTGTAACCAGCCAGCATTGAGAGAAAGAAAGAGAGAGAGACGTGTTTACACGACCAGTGATTTTTTTGGAAAACACCTTGGAATTATTTCCAAGGAATATTTGTCTAAAGATTAATGGATTAAGAGAAAATATTTGCTAACTTTAAAATATTGCTATAGAGGTATAGGTCTTAATGACGCCCAGTCATTTATTGAGAAAGGAAGAGAGAGAATGAAACGTCACCAGCATGGTGCGTTTTCTTTCGGCTTGTCGCGTATCCTTGCGATTTTTTGCTTTCCCCTCCACTGGCCGCCGCTACCGAATCCGCAAATATCTGTCTATTTCATTCGCGATGTCTGACACAGCATGGCCGAGGGGAAACAGACGGTCGCCAATTTGCGGCAGCGATAACGCGTCGTGTGTGTCAGACATAACGTTTTAACCGAGGAGAGAACTGTCGACCGAAAACCACAGTCACAAAGCTGCAGTGTTCGTGTCAAGTTGCTCTTCGGATTTATAGTCTACCTTGTCGTCGTATTAGATTTGTTTAAACTCGCGGCAACCGTTTGTTGAAAAATCAACTTATCGGCAATCAACCAATTGAGGTAAGCGAGATCAAGTGGTTTGCTGACGTTCTGAAGAACCTCTTGACGTTTGCTACGTATTGTAACCATGTGCTCTTCGCGCAAAATGTAGAGATATCGATTTGTATCGAGATTCCTTGATATGCGATTGTGTATGCCATGTATGGTTGGTATGTGAGCTAGATGTGATATCCTTGACTTCCTTTAGCATGAGTTCATGGCATAAAAATGACAGAAGATTGCGGTTTTTTGTTCCTTGATTGGAACATTTGTTGCTGCGTGTTCGAAATAGTTGTCAGTTTTTGTCGATAGTACAACTGGGTGATTTCTGGGTTATGATGTCGTTATTGTGACTGCACAATTGTGTTGGATTCGATGTAAAGATACTGGATCGTGTGGAATATTAATTGACAGGTTAAAGTACTTTATTCCTTTCTCAGATAAAAATAACGACAAAATATAGTTGCTTTTTTGTTTTGGTGCTTCAGCCTTCCCCGTGGATATTCGCGGCTATTTGACACTATACTTTTTAGACATTAATCTTAAATAGATAAATAAACATATTTTCCTTAATACAGTTGCTTTAAGATTTATAGGTTATGCCACTTGTCGAAACTTTCACGTACGTCGACACGTGTGGCGTGGTAGTATGCAAATCGCGCGGGAACTTTTTGTATAAAACGATCGAGGCTCATGTTCTGTTACAACGCAATGTCAAGAAACACAAAGAAACATAAGAGAAAGTCAGGAGAGGAAAGTATCTAATCTCTTCTGGTTATCTCGGGAATTAATTCGATCATGGACGACATTCAGCTAAATATTCGATCGAATTATTTGTCTTCATTATATTCCTTATTTTTTTAACTGCGTCATCGTCGTATCTTACGTCATCGTCGTACCTTGATCATTTTCTTTAATTTTGAAAAAATTAAGGCTTATTAAATGCCACTAATCTCGGCGATTCACGCATACGAGATACAACACAAAAATAAAAGAATATATACGCATATCTATTGTGCATTCGGCCAAGGTTCAGCTCCCGCAGTTTCCTTATTTGCTTCACGATGAAGAATAATGACTTTAAATTACGAATTAAGGCTCCTGGGGAGTCGCGTCATCCATCTCTTTTTAATGACGTCAGAAGCGAGAAAACGCATGCTAAAAATTCCTGCAAAATACGTCGAGATAAACAGATATATCCACAAAACGACATTTGCGATCGATTAAGTACACCTCTAAAATACTCCGTACACTTTCCTTTTGTTCTAAAAATCAATAGATAATCGGAAAATTAATATGACAAGATAATGAGGAAATTAGGTTAGAAAAGACGATTGCACGTCACATTTATTTTATAATTATCTGTTGATTGTTAGAACAAAAGGAAAGTGTACGGAGTATTTTAGAGGTGTACTTAATCGATCGCAAATGTCGTTTTGTGGATATATCTGTTTATCTCGACGTATTTTGCAGGAATTTTTAGCATGCGTTTTCTCGCTTCTGACGTCATTAAAAAGAGATGGATGATACGACTCCCCAGGAGCCTTAATTGCCGTCGCGTGAGTTCCATAACATGCATTCGGATGTTCCAAGATGCAGCTCGTTTAATGTCTAGGCATCAGAGTCCGTATTCTCGATACGTATTCGAACGCCAAATACGTCCTTTTTATTTGAGTCCCGTTTTTCTACACAAGCGTCCCGTATAGAGTTGTATTAGCTTAAGAGAATTAGAAAGGCGTATCAGCATGTTCGAATATGCGTTAAAAATATGACCCCTATTGCGATTTAAACGCATGGTATGATTTCCTGCAACTTGTACATTCATGTATTGTCGAGTGTTCGAACAGATGACTACCCTACTGAAAAATTTCTATTGAGATCACAATTGAATTCCCAATTGAATTCTCAATTGAATTCTCAATTGAATTCTCAGTTGAGGTTTCCGCAAAATTTCGCATGTAAGATCTCAATTGAGATATTTGTATCTGATGGAAATAATTCATTGAAAATATAATGAACTTTTGCTGAAATATGTTTGAAAAGCATTCACAATTTTGACCCAATTTCATTAAAATTTCATTATAATTTCATTAATATTT